ATATATATATATATATATATATATATATATATATAAGCATCTGTAAATACTAAAGTAGAAATAGAAGTTTTAGTGATTACCCGTTACATAAGATGTAATTATGTAAATAAATTTAAAGAATAAAATATGAAGTAGTAAAATATGCAAATAAATTATAAAGAATGAAATTTAAGAAAAAGGTACTCTATGTAGAAAAGTAACCCCATACAATGATTTCACAGACCTTAAGTAACAAAAAAATAAAGGATAAATGCTTCAAATCGAACAATGGATAAGATTCTTATCGAGAAAATTTCGTGATCATGCATGCTTGCTAAGAAGCTCACCTAGTTGAGATGACAGCCCAGACATGTAAGCATCAAGGTCATCTCCACCTTCGGTGCTGTTGACAGAGTCAGTCACTCCCTTTTCCTTCTCTTTCAAAAGCAAGGCCTTCTTTTCCTCAATTTGACTAATTATGGTATCCTTTTTGTCGAGAAGAGAATCAGCTGTTTCGACTGATTGCTGTTCACCAGACTTTCGAGCAGCAGGCTTCTTCTTGGTCCGGTCATAGAAATCGTCATCATCACTGGATGATACACAAATTTGTTAGCTTATAGAAAAAGAGGACTGATATGACAGAACTACACAACAAAGGAATACTATGTCCGGTAGAAAGTTGATCCCAATTATCATTCTACCAATGAGAATTCAGGCTCTAACTCTATAGCATCTATGACACCATAATTTCAGTATTAGATAGTCATTTATGCATGGTCCAACTTATGTATAAACTGTTGTGTTGAAATTAATCAAACAATAAGATTGAAGCCCTTCCAAGCCACTGCACAAAGTACCTTCTTTTACCTCATATGTGCTTTGTAGGCATGTCTAGTAGCACCAGTAAAAAAATAAATAATAATTTCCTACAACTAGATGGGAACTAATATGACTGGAACTAGCATCCGCAAAGAACCTTTTTTCCCTGACAAGGGGATCTCACTTCTAAAAGAATGGACAAATTAAAATGAAGAACACTTGGAATTATTGCTTCTTAGACAAGAAACCTTAAATTAAAGTTGTCACTTGTAGTAAATAATGAACAGTACATGTAGAGCAAAATTTAGAATTTAATAGCTTCCAATGAAGAACAAAAGTACATCCTCAATCATACAACTTTGTCCTCAAATTTACACAGGTTATTAGGCTGAACTAACAAAACCACGTAGACTACTATTTACATTAGCATCAAAACATCTCCTTGAGATGAACTTAATAAAAGATGGAGAGAACAGTGAACAGTAATCATAAATCTAAAGCCTAAATTCAGTAGCCTAAGCTAAGGGAATTTATGTAATTAAAATAGTTATTACTTGGTTTCCATGGAAATCTAGAAGATACAATCCAAAAAATGCTGATAACTGAAACAGAAAGCAGCAAGCATCTCATCAATTGTTTTGATGCCAATTTTGTCAGAAAACAACAAAAGTCAAATATATTCCTCTGCAACAGTGACATATTATAGCATTCCCAATCTTCTTTGTGACGTATCTATGTGGAACTTTTCATATCAAAGTATATCAAATAGAATTACAGTTTGTTATTCACCTAATTTTTAAGTATATATTGTTTCAAAGAGATGTACTACAAATTTCAGCATAAATGCTATCGTTTGGACTTTCCATAACAAATGAAAAACATCCATCTAGTGAACTAAATGAACAGTTGGCTTCTCAGAATCTCAGATGCATTTCAAAATAACATATAGGTTCAAAATTTGAAATAAAAATGTTAGAAAACAAAAATCCTATAAAAGGGAACAATATATACCTCAGCATGTCATCTTCATCTTCAACATTCTCTTTCTTCTTACCACAAACTACCTTACCAGATCGAGCACCTACACTTTCTTGAATACTTTCATTCAAAGTCTCTTCTAAGCTATCTAATTCCTCCATAATCTGAGAAATATGTAAGAAATAGTATCTTTGTGACTCATGCAAAAGCCTTCATAGTCAAAAGATCAAGACAGTGTAGACAAGCTAAAAGAATCAATCACCTGAGTTATTCTTTGCTCATTCCGAGCTATCTGTGTTTGCTGACCTTGAGTTAAGCCACCTTGGGCAATGTCTTTTGCTCGTATGGCATCAATCTCCTTTTTCATGTTAGCGACCTTATAGCACCAAAGATCGAAGAAAATTTTTAAGTAATAAAGTTGTTGATCATAAACAATATATCAATGCTAGCAAATCCAAAGGCTTGTGTATACACTATAAAAAAGAGAGAAGTACACAAGCAGTTAAACAAAATAAAATTTTACAAATACATTTCAGGGGACAATAATATCATTTTAAGCAGGGTTTGCCATGCCGCAATATACCACCCGATACGGGCACTATGTACCGGTCCGACAAGGGACTGGTACACGGACCACCCTATATCAGACAATCTAGTTAAATTAATAAAATATTAAAAAAATAGTGGGACCCATGTCCAAATCAGTGTAAAAGGGAAAAAAAAAAGATATTAGGGCTTGCGAATGTGATCCCTCTTCTCGCATAAAGTGTTGTCACCTCGCTGTCACCACTTCGCCTTTGCTGCCGCTACTATTTCACCGTCGTGTAAGGTGCCACCACCTCGCCATCGTCACTTCACCTCTGCTGCCACTGCTGCTTCGCCGTTGTTTAAGATGTCGTCACCTCACCATCGCCACTTCCCCACTGCTGTCGCTGTTGCTTCACCATCACGTAAGATGGCGCTGCCACTGCTTCCCAAGTACATGCTGCCGATGCTCTTTTCCTCTTCTTTCTTCATCTGCCTCCACTTCTTCCTCTTCTTCCCTCTTCCTTTCTCCTTCCATCTCTGTTTTACTACCACTCTTGCCACTTCTCTTTCTTTTTCTTCATCGCCAAGCCACTGGTATGCATCGGCATACCATGTGTTGGCATACAGGTACGGATGGTACATATTGTTCCAGCAGTTTGCTGAAACAGGTCCGGTACCCGAAAAGGCAAACCATGGTTTTAATCAAAGCATCTATTAACTTACACCATTTTCTGTGCAAATAAATGAAAAACATAACAGTTTGCACATGCATCTCAAAGTGGAATTCCATGGTATTCATTCATTTTTCAGAAGTAAACTTGTGAAACTTGTACTATATATCTATATGCTGTTATTACTTAGGAACCTGTTGTGTTCACATTATGATCTTCAGCACAAGAATTAAGTATATAAGAGTGTTGGAAGCAAAACAAACCAAACAACTTACCTTCTCCATTCTTTTTATAATTTTGCTACGAGTTTTTTCCTGCCTTTCAGTTAGCTGTCCTTTGTACGTTTGCCATGTTATTTCATCTGCACCATTCTGCAAAATAACCACGGCATCATTGAATCAAAATATTTAATGTAATTTAGATGTCCACAGAGATAGACAAAAGATAGTGAATAGTCTACAACATAATAAGAGAGGGATTCCTAAAAAGGAAAGTCAAAACAATTTTGCCAACCTCTGTGTCTTCTTCAATAGCATCCTCCTGCATGCCCCATGAGATACCATTTGCAAGGGAAGCATCGACTCTTGCCCGTGATAGTGAAGCTTCACGATCGAGCAACTCTTCTCGAATTTTTGCATTCCGTAGTTTCTCCAAATCACCCTCCTACACATTGAAAAGTGAAGTGAAAAGCTAAGAGGGAAAACCCCATAGTATTCAGAAAAAATCTGAATGCAATGAAACAAGCAAGTTACAACTATATCTACAAGCATGTTCTTTACTCATTCAGGCATGCATAATTTGGCAGTTAAAACAGTAAAACAGCAAAAAGGAAACAAAAAAAAGGAAGCATTGTTTATGAAAAGAAAAGGTCAAATTCATGCATTGAAAATATGAAATATCTAGCGGACGATTTTAATTGGTTACATCATATAGAGACAAGATACAGTAAAAAAAGGAGCTTAGATTTATTTGATTCCTAGAGAAAAAAGAAGTTAAAGCTAATTCCCTCACCGTTCCAACCTCAGGGTAATGAGTAACAAGTAGATTTATTAGTCTGAAACAAGTCAGAGAGACATACAGCCATGCATGTTCCTTAAGGCCAATAAAATCTTGCAAAAGAGTTCATGATCCAAATGTTCAGAAGCATCATGAGTTCACTCAAAGTTGGGAAAATAGCATATTTCTGGAGTAATAGTACAACAACCATGTAAACAGAGCTTTTGCAAGAAGTGGTTTCATATGGTGTTTTACTCTCTCATCATTGTTGGCAGGTGGTCCAATCAAAAGAAAAGGCAGAAATCTAATCAATTGCATCTTATAAACAAGTCATCGCGTGTTTTCAAAGTCTTACTGGAGGCATTAACTCAGTTGGTCCTTGGAAAATATATAACCGTGACGACCTGTGGAGAATGCAAAGCAACAACATAAATCAGTAACAGCTTTAAAAAAATATATATCTAAATCACTCTATTCAAGCTTAAACTTTTTATCAAATTGATTGCCAACAATAGAAAGAAACATATCTAAGACACTGTAACTCACATTTCAAGCAAATTTTCAATAACAACACAACCGTGCAACTTAATGTTAGACAACGAAATCATAAGCAACAACTAAAAAAACATAGCAAATAAAATTGTGCGATCAAACTTTACCAATATATCGTTAAGATCAAGGTTTGTCGTATCATATTATACCGCCTAGTATGGACGGTACGTACCGGTCCAATAGGAGACCAGTATGGGCAGTACATACTGGTTTGTCGATATGCTCCACTATACCATATGTCGGTACATCAATATGTTTCATACCAACAGCTGATCGGTACATAGGTATGGGCCGGTAAGAATAACTATGGTTAAGATCAAATAAGGATGCCACATACATTAGTACAAATGACACAAGCCAGCCAAGGGCAATGACACAATGGCAAGATACCAACTGGCAAGACTCGATTTATAGGATACTTGGTAATGCAATAATGTACCATTCGAAGGCTAACCAGCGAGAAACAGCAAGGGCATCCATCCCGTAATAGTTCTAGAAGCAGGATCAACTGCTCTGAACTCAGTGCTATGAACTGCAAACTAATTGGACAAGCCCAAATCATGTCAAACAGTATCAAGTCAAATTGTCCTAGTTAAATCTAAGCCTGAAAATATTACACATAAACCCATTACATACACACTTTGAAATTGACTTCACTTGAAGTCAGAGACATAAAAATAATCTGGTTAAGCTTGCCTATTAAGAATGTCAAAGAGCACTCTGAAAGATGTCAACAAATGTGAATTTTTATCCCAATTTTTATGGGACAAAGTTGTTGGCACTTGGTACAACAGTATGTTAGTTTACAATAGAGAAACATATTGTCTTGGGTTAGTAGCATATGGAGTTGAAGTAGACCAGTTTGGGTACCTTATCAAAGGGACAGTGACAGTAATTAGTTAGAACTTAGAACTTAGTAAAACTTGCAAAGAGTGAGAGAGAGAGGATGGGGTCACAGAGAGACGAAAAAAAATATAGAACCCATTTATTCTGTTTTAATTAATTATTTAAGACAGGCATTATATATCTTCTTTAGGAAAAGAATCCCCAAAACACCTACAATAAACAACTCAAACACTTCAGAAAATTTTATGGTTTTATACTGTTAAAAAAATTGTTAGGTTTATGAACCATAAAAAATAGTAGAAAAAGAATATGTTTGTTCGTGCAAAACTTTCAATGATAAACTTACCAACATACCAAACCAAATAAAAGGAAATGGAAGAAGCATGCAACAGAAAACATCAGATTGATTCAGGGCATTAATAAATCAACTTACATGCCAAACCGAATAACATCGCCAACATGAAGTTCTGTGTAAACCTTCTTCTTTACCTGAACATGATTACAGAACTAAGAATACTGGTGACAAATCAAAATTCTGATTGAAAAATTAAAAACTCTAAGTATATCTTTGATATTACTTGCAAAAAACAATAGGCTTTTGTCGAAAGTTGAGACATAAGACATGAAACAAAACATCTGAGCAAACTTTACAATTCAATTTAGACAACACATCTGGAAAACATGCTTCATCTGACACACATGGCAATCTCTAAGATTAGATGTGAGGCAAAGTATTGAGGCAGGACCATGCGCAGACCTCAATGACCAAATTGGTCATAACTCAAAAATCCATAGTGGCATCAATCAATGGTCAAACGCACTAGGCATTATATAGCACCAAGATCACTTATTACCTGAGGAACTGGATGATTGCCCAAGTAAAGCAAGACATTTACTTTACAAAAATTACAAAAAAATAAAATTAGGAATACAAAATAATCATTAAACAAGAAGTTTGATAGATAGACGACATATATATATATATATATATATCTATATATATATATATATATATATATATATATATATATATATATATATATATATTTGTGTGTGTGTGTGTGTGTTATTGTTTTACTCATTAGTTGTTTTGTCAAAAAAGATGCAAGTGACTATATTTGGGTCTAGTGCATCACTTTAAATAATTGTACTGCCATCCAGAATCATATTTAATGCTTTTTGATAATGATTCCTTTCAAGGGCCTTTAGTTGAAATTAATTAATTTATTAATTGAGTCATGGAGAGAGGGAAGAAAGGAGGAGGAGGGAAAGAAGATAGAAGGGGAGAACAACAGCAGAAGCACCGAAGAGAAGATAGAAAAAGTGGGAGGAAAGAGAGAAGCCAATGGCCAGGAGAAGAGAGAAGAAGAGTGAAGGAATAGGGAAGATAGGGCATCAGCAATGGATGGAGAACACCCACGGAGGAGGGGAGAAAGAAAAGGGAGGAAAGTGGTAAAAGGGAGAGAAAAGAATAGGATATGTGTTGGACAGTGAGGCAAGGCAGAGTCATTAGTGGAAAATTGACAACAAAAATGCTAGGACATAATGAAGGCGATAAGTGCAAAGGATTAGATTTACATTAAGCCAAGGGGAGAGGATTGGATTTGGACTAGGTTGGAGGATTTAAATCACTTGGGCCAACCTAGGCGAGTGCCTGGAACACCCATCATCTCCAACAGAGTACTGCCTAAGCAAGTTATTAGATAAGGAGTGAAGACATGGCCAATGGTGGAAAATAGAGATTTAAAAAGCGCTAGGCACTAAGGTTCAAAAACGCCCGAGGCGCTAGGCGCTCACTCGAGCGAAACAAGGCGCTAAAATATAAAAATATATAATATAATTAATAACTATAATTATTTAAATAAAAATATAATATTAAATTAAAAAAAATCTTACAGGATCACAATATCACGTTAACAAAAAATCTCATAATTCAAAACAATAACAATAATTTCAAATAAATAAAAATTAACAGTATTAAAAGTAAAATAATATATTATTAATCTAATAAATAAAAAATATTGTTACTAGTATACTGTTAACAGTATACTATCGAGTCGATGTGAGAAGAGGGAGTAAAAGTAATAGTAGCGGCAGCGAGAGCGACGATAGTGGCGAGTAGCGACAACAACGACGAGCAACAGTAGTGGCAGCGACAACGATAGCGGTAGCAGCGAGCAGCGACAATGGTAACGGTAGTGGGGGCGCAATGTAAGAGTAAGACTGAGAAGAGTAAGAGTAAGAGGAAGGCGGAGGCTGCTGATTGAGAGTAGCAGCAGCAGTAGCATCGAGGAACGACAACGGGAGAGGGAGCGGCGAGCGACGACAGTGACAGGGACAACGATAGCACCGAGCAGTGGGAGCAGTGATAGTGGCAGCAGCGAGCAGCGAGCAGCGAGAACGGGGAGTGACGATAGTGGCAGTGGCAGCGATAGTAGTGAGCAGGAGCGATGACAATGGCAGCGACAGCGGTAACAGCGGCAACGGGAGTGGGAGTGGCGAGAAGGGTTAGGGTTGGGAAGTCACGAGAGGAAAGCTGATATCGGTGCTTTAGTTGGTTCGATTAAACCAACTAAAGCACCGGACCTAAAACATTGGTTCGGTCGCTTGGTTTAACTTGGGCGCTTGCCCGAAGCGCTCGGCGCCTGGGCTCAAGCGAGCGCCCAAGCGGCGGCTCTTTGAAGCACGCAGCCTGGAAATGAAGCGAGGCACTCGGGCCTCGCCTCGCCCGAGCGCCTAGGCAAGCACCCAAACGCCTATTGAAATCGCTGGTGGAAAATAGGCAACAAAATGCTAATAAAGAACACCTCTATCAGTCGCGGGGAGTTTCGGTTTAGATTAGGCCAGGAGGAAAAGATTGGATTCAGATTAGGCCAACCTGGATGAGCACCTAACATGAGCCTAGGAAATGCCCAATTGAAGGCGCCTCATACAGGACCCATCAAAGCATCGGTTAGACAACGTGAGTCAATTAGGATTAGTGCAAAAAGCACCTATTAGAAACAACAAAGGAATATTTGATTACTAATTATTCAACCAAAGATATCACTACAGGAAAAAGAAAAAAACCACATGACCAGCCACAAATACTTGGGACATTAAGTTTTATTATTTTGATTGTAGTACACAATGGTTACCCTAAGGACAAGCCTAAATACAAGATAAGATGGGAGACCTAGGTTGGAGTCTCAAAAACAATCTCTACGAAATACACCCTCCTCAGACCCCACATTGATGGGAGTCTTTGCACTGGGTTTACCCACTCAATAATTACTTAAAACATATAAATGCAATTCCTTGACCAGAAATAGAAATTACGAGGAAAATTTTGGTTTCGCTACATTCATATGACATTTTCGTTTCTCACTGTATTTTATTAAGATAATATTTTTAGAGGTCAAAATGAAGCCAAAAAGCATAAATCAATACCTGCATTTTGTTGATGAATGTTCCGTGTGTACTACCAAGATCATAAAGCAAAACTTCATCTTTCTTAAACTGCAGAACTGGAAGATACATAAAAAAAAAAGTGATTATGCGTTCAGGATTAAAAAATATTTCACATAAAGATAATCCAGTAGCAGTAGATAGTAATATCATCAATGATGTCAAACAAAATCCTTAACAACAAAGAGTGTCCTAAGCCAAGCAAAGATAAGATCCCACCTTATGTAAACCATTTGTAAAGATAAATCACAGTAATCGAAATAGTGTATAATTTGTTTGGATAAAAATTCACAATGCCAGCGAATATGCAACTCAAGGAGGGAAGAGGAATGACTCAACAGACATTCCGTCGAGCATCTTGCCTACAACTCAAAAAGAAAAGTTCACATAAGTGCAAAATTTTTTAAAGTATTCCAATTCCAACACACTGGTCTAAAAATCTGCCTTGAGACAATGAATTTGAACACTATATCATATGAAGTACACAAGCCTCAAATGGCCAAGCATGCACTACTTCATTGCATCAATGCAAATCCTTCTGATATCCCAGCCGTTTGGGAATTGCCAGAGGGAGGGATATCAGTTAGTTGCAACAGGAGCATACATGGGGCATACCTGGTGGGTCAGGAAGGTGGAAGTGCACAGCGATCGGCAAATGAGGCAAAGACAGCTGCTTGGCCTCACCACTTCTCTACACCTTTGGCCATGATAGCAAGGACACAATAGGCAGCATAAAAAAATATGGAGCTCCAACAGGAGTAGCAGCAGAAACCAAACAACTATAATGGATAAAGGTGATACAGAGGTGTAATTATTGGAAGCGGAGGAGGAGGAGGAAGAGGAAGAGGAAGTGGAGGATAAAATAGAGGTAGGAAGAAAGGAGTCATGAGAGAGGAGGGTAGAGGTAAGACAGGAAGATGACAAGAGAAAAGAGCAACTAGGAGAAAAGAGAAGAGAGAGTTCTTAAATGATCACTAAAGAGCTCCCGATAGAGAAGAAAACATCCTAAATGAGTTTGCTGGTTTCAGTTCTTAAAAATAGGTTTGGAGTTACCATTTCCGTAAACTGAAACAGCATTAACTCCACAGCCACATAGATGTATTTGTTCTTTTAAACAAAAAAAAGTTGTTCTTGAGAACACAACCCCTAGCAAAGTACCAAAAAGTTGAGACAACCAATAACAAAGCCTCAAAGGAATTCCAACAACTAGTATTTGAAGGCCAACCAAATCTCTGATCAACAATGTGGGAAGGGGAACCAATGACCGGTCAGATCCATGGGTGATGATAGTGGGACGGAAGTGGAAAAGGAGATAGGTGGAAGAAACAGAATACTGTACATTGTACAATAAAAAAGGGAGTGTTGCAAGGAGAAACCAACTGGCATTGAGAGTTTTAGTGTGTTTCAACTGATTTGTACTGAACCATGGTGAAATCCAAGAATTCCAACCAATTTGGTTGCTGTCAAATGATTTCACCAAAATCAAATGGTCCGCCCTGTATAAGAAAATTTTTGTTAAACAACACTCACTAAAATCAACTGTTCCAGAACCTCAAATCCATGTTAGTGGCACCCAATTTACCAAGGGAATAAGATAGAAGGTTTTTCTAAAAGTTAAGTCAGAAAATAATGCACTGACCTAATTATGGATGATCTTCAATGGAACTTCTAAGGCACATTTTTTGAAATATCACAAGTTTAGTCTACAAGATAAGCTGATTTTACTAGGGGATTCTGAAGATAAGATTAAAGAATGGGGAAAAAGTATACAAAAAGAATCAAATGCATGCATATGCACATGCACCTTATAGAAGCTCATCTAGATCCCCCTGTAATATGTGTATCCATTTCCAAAAACCACAATTTTGGAGGTTTCAGATCTTATCATGTAACAACTGTTGGGAGAGACAGAAATACAGAAGAGCGACATGGCAAAATTTATACTAGCTCCTAAAAGAAGGAACAAAGTCAAAATAATGACAACTTATCCCAGCAAAAGTCTATGGTATATTTAACATTGTCAAAAACTAAGTTGCCTATAAAAGGCAAATCTCAATTTGTCATGCTCGATACATCCTTGATCTCACATAAGAGTTGCTTCTTCTCTTGTTGCAATTCAAATTGCCTAATACAACAATCATTAAAAACCATATACAGGGAAGAAAAAGACCTACAGTTACCTATGTCAGAATTAAACGAACTTTTTGGCCCGGACTACCATTATTTAGCAAACCTACAAGCATTTCAAAGTAAGCTAACTGTTTAAACCTGGACTGCAACTACTGAAACCACTACAATATGCAATAAAGTTCAGCAACAAAATGACAGTAGATGCATTTATGAAGTAAAAACAACAAGCATCACAAACCTGCATGGAACCTGGAGATGGTTGGATGTTCCAACACAAAATCACAAGAATCAATGCGTCCAAACATATATGCTCCTTTTTGCGACCTGGATCATAAGAATTTGTTTAGAAACCAACCGTTGCACCTTAACTAACCAGCAGTTGCTTTTCATACAACTTCTAGTACAGCACTCGATGAAATTAGATCTAGATGCAGCAGACAGCCCTTAAAGCTGTCACAAGATATGCATAGCCATTTCAAGAGCACATATACTAGTACCATAAAAGCAAAAAACAGAAAAATACAAACAACAAGAAGTAACCAGAGGATACTAAAAAAGATCACCGTAACATTTACATATTCTCCATGGTAAATCAATTTTGTCTAACAAATCCTTAGAGTAGTAGTACAATATTTAAAGAAGATCTTGTTTATTATCTTAGATATTGGCAAGAATTACACCAACTACCACAACAAGCTGTAGTTCCCATCTATTCTGGCAGCCGTGTTTCTCTCCTGCAGTTGAGCTTTGCAAAGGAAAATATCACTAGTCAAGTCAAAGACTGACGAGTTTTATTCCTCATCTGTCTTTCTTGTCACCACTCATCTTATCCTCACATAGCTGGCACATTTTCTAGGTTTCCTTCAAACATGGCCAGATGACCTTAACAAGTTTTCACACATGTCTTCCCTGTTGGTGACACCCAAATTTTTACTTATATCTGTCCTTTCTATATTCTCATCTTTGCAACATCAACCCTGCTGTTTCTTAACAGCCACTGTTTGCTCAATATGCATAACTAGTCTTATAACTCTTATAACTGTATGTCTTACAAATAATTTCTTGTAATCAAACTCAATTTCAATACGCACAAGTCCAAGAGATCAATTGTAATGAGTTTGTGGTTATGTTTGTAACTAGTCAAACTATGGTTTAGATCAGAAGTCAAATTAGGAGCTACTACTGGTTCTCTTTAAATCATATAAAGGTTAAATAATTTGAACTATGAATGGGCTAAATTAATGGGACAATTGGCTAATTCTTAATCTGTTTAACACCCAGAATTGGTGACAAAAGATGCCAATAATCGGTCATGATATATCATGTAAAAGACTGCTGTTAAAATTTAGTCTCTGTATGATATAACCAACCATATGGATAATTTGATACAATTATAAGAAAAAATGAGGCCATTCCATATAGGTTACTTTAGATTCTCCGGATTAATTAAAGTCCAGCTGCTAGCTTTATTTTCTTATCAAAAAGCGACTTGTTTATCTGAAAAAAGTTTTAGGCACAAATAAAAATGAACTTATAAAAAGGCATTTACTTTGTTTGGTCTTCAGCAGTATCCAGTCAGGTTGATACCTATTAAGGTCCTAAAGAGTGCAACAAGGCTGATTAACCATTAAATCCTGTGTTATATATCGATATTATTTTAAATCAAAGATTTCCTTTTTCTTTTGGCACCAGTCTTCTTTTCCCTTTGTTATGCTTCACCCTTCTTTGATCTCTCTCCCGCAGTATCTATCTGTTCTTTCAATCAAGTACAGCTTTTAGTGTTGTTCTTAACAACATAATTTTCTTTTGGCTACAATTCCATAATTACACAGCTTTCTGGTGGTCACTGCTACAGAATCACTTCATCCATCATATAGCATCTTCCAGGTGGCCCTAATCTCACAAAGGCTGCATTACAACCTTAAGTGACATTCGAGAGTCAGATGAAATACCCCAAATGTCCTCCCCATTTGTCCATCCTGCTTAAACTATGTAACTAATAGTTTCTTCATTCCCCTTTCTACTGAATAATAGATCATTAAAGTTTTTTTCTTTTCGAGACTAACTTGTCTATAACTATTCATTTCTCTTGCTATTACTAATGTTACATTTTTCATATATTTGATATTAGTCCTACTTAGTCTAAAACTCTTAATTTCTAAAATGCTTTTTATACATTCTATTTAGTTGATCGTAACCTGAATTTATTTAATTAACATCATTAATAAATTTATACATTCAGAAAGCAAACTGGTGAAGAATAATACTTAATTCTCAATACTTGCTAGTCTTAATCGCCCTAACAGTTGTATCTAGTCCCTCGTACATGTACATAACCACTTCTATCTGTTCACCAAGCTGATTTCTTTTAGCCACCATATTAAATATCTAAAGATTATATCATAATACATTTTTATGAGTTATTTAAACCATATGCAACTTTATTCTTTTCTCTATATTTTCTCAATATATACCCATTTACTAAATTGATCTTCCCATGAAGAAACCAAAATAAATATTGAAAAGACTTGTTTCACATTTTAACCTCTGTTTAATCACTCATCCATAATTTCAGAATACAGCTTATTGGCCAATTCCCATGACAGTTCATGCAACTTTAGATATATCCTTTGTTCTTAAGAATCTATACCAAGAACCATCAAATGTTTTCTTAGTTTTCAAAAAAAAAAAATTAGCTAAATTGATCAAGCAAGATGAACCTTGATCTCCCAAGAACTTCAACACCTCAATAAGGATAAATATGGATGTTGCACTTTCATCTATTTTCAACTCCATCCTTTTATTATGTTTTTTTGATAGTAAGCCTTCGAGCTAAAGTTAGGTTGTTCCTTTACAACCTACAGGCTACAGGACCAAATTCAAGTCAAGGAAGCTACTTCTCTGTTTGCAAGGTTGAGGCTACATATGTTGGTCCTCCCCAAAGACCACATTGGATTGAGTCTCATGAAACAGACAGGTCCTTTTATTATTTCTTTTTTTCCTTACATTCACTAGTTGTCCAAATATAGTTCCAGATTTCAACAATACTTCCTAGTTCTCTATCTAAAGAAAGACTAGATTGGGAAATTAGGGCTCCCAAGTTGCATGCGTTATTGAGGGAAGCTATTGATAATAACTTTGACATTGCCCTAGGAACCACAAAATAGGATGTGAACACTCTTAAACGGCAACTATCACTCCCAAACATAAGATAACTTAAGGTGAAGCACATGCAATTTATAAGGGATGGAACATGCACTCCACTAACAATGCAAACCTCAACACAACTATATGGAAGAAAACGCAAATAGAGATTTTTCCTTCATCCAAGAAGCGCAAGACGAAACACTTGTAATCAACTCACAGCAGAAGAAAGATGAGATCCAAGAAAAAGATTAAAACTTTGAGGGCAAGAAAGGGCTAACACGTCCAACTGTTCGATGATGATGCCGTCCTTGAGGACCTCGAGGAAGAAAGGTTGCGCGGGGGGCTCGCTCCACGATGGAATCGAGTAAGGAGCAGCCGAATTTCCGCTCTGAGATCCAGAGGAAGATGAATTAGAGGCACTAGGACTAGGTTTTTCAAGATCCTTCGCTTCTGATTCCGGAGCGATGCTCTCCGCTGCGACACCTCCGTCCTGCTGCGAACAGGCTAGCCCGTCCTTGTCATTGGATGGATCGCCATCAGTGAGTTCGGGATTAGGGTCAGGTTTAGGGTTTCGCGGAGCCGGAGGACCCATAGGAACCTTCATGGCTGCAGAGAACAATAGAAACCAAGGGGCGGGGGCGGGGGTGCGGGTCTGCGATGAACAGAGGGGAAAGAGGGAGGAGAAGGGAGTGTGCGATGGCGAAGGAGGAAGAGAGAGAGATACCGGGAGGGGAAGACGTCACCGCCGACTGTCGCGCCGCGGGGGTTTGGTTCGGGTTCGAAATGTGACTCAGGTTCGATGCGGATTTTAATGATTCGGGCGTCTGACCCGTCGAACCGCCTCCGGTCGAATTCGTGGGGCCCACCCCACTTATCGGATGCTGATGTAACAAAAATTGAAATGTCAGATGAAATTATTTTGGATGCCAAAATGACTAAATGCTTCGACATGTAAAATGAAACGACAGTTTTCCTATGACCGGTGAGGCATTATATCGATCGTCTCATAGCAATCAATATATAGAAATCGTTATAAAAGATTTAGTATCGTTTGTGATCTGAAAAAATATATAGAAAACGAATCTCAAAATCAACAGGGATTTTCTACTGTAAGAAATTCCTTTTGAAGAACTTAAATCGTCATCGATTTAAGATGGTTCAATAGTGCAGTCAGTATGCAATTAGGTTTACACTTTTGTCTCCAGGAAGCACTTGCAATCCTAATTTTCAGCTGACAACATGGTGCTTTCCCTGCACAGCAGCAACATAGGAACTATAGAGAGCAGTAAATTTCTCCTTGTACGGGAAAAGATATTTGTTCATGAACTTCTGCTCGGTTAGTCGCATGACATATGAAAGGCCATGTCCTTTATCCAGAAATTTATTCTGCTCAAGAAAATTTACAAC